AAGAGTGTGTCCTGACTCCGAGGGGTGAGATGGTAAAGAGTGTGTCCTGACTCCGAGGGGTGAGATGGTAAAGAGTGTGTCCTGACTCCGAGGGGTGAGATGGTAAAGACTGTGTTCCCACTCAGATGGGTGAGATGGTAAAGAGTGTGTCCCGACTCCGAATGGTGAGATGGTAAAGAGTGTGTCCCGACTCCGAATGGTGAGATGGTAAAGAGTGTGTCCTGACTCTGAAAGGGGATTGGTTGCTGTGGATGACAGGCTTGAAAGCTTGGAGGTGCTGTCATGAAGAGAATTCAGTTGAGGATCCAGCAGTAACTTTGAGTCTTTTGTTTTATAGGTTTTTTCAAACTCTCATCCATTTGCTGAAGGGGAACATCGGCACAGGTGTGCTAGGCCTTCCTCTGGCCGTGCGGAATGCTGGAATTATTGTAAGTGGGATAATGTCACATCATGTCCTGAGCCTATACCTCACAGCTCTCTATGTATATTGCTCAGTTCACAGTAATTTCCTTCTGATAGTCATGTTCAGGCCTCTGCATCATGAATCACCAGTGGTGGATTCATCTGTGGTGCTGATACACATATTTATGAGTGGTTTGTGGATTGCTGGAGGCAGATGTTTGTTTTGGACAAAGGTTAGCCTGCAAAGGTACAATACCATACAGAGGAGGTTGAGGAACATGCAAGGTCACTTGCGAAAAGCGACTCTATGCTCCCTGCTGTGTCTCAGGGAAAGGTCTCCTTCAGGGTTGGAGTTAACTTAGAGTTAAGTTGACCTAGAACCTTCTGGAGCTCTTCACGCTAGACCAAGTGTTATTGGGTCTTCTGTATGATGATACCTTCTTTGTCTCACCTTCTGACTCTGAAAGGGAGAAGGTTAGAGTCAGGTGGAGCTCCCAGCTCTGGGTATCGATTACTAACCACGTCTGGAAACCTACTAAACATAGTAGTACACACAGCAGTCTATAGGGTTCTGGACTGTTCTAAACCCAGACAAGAACTAATCAAAGGCTTATTTATTTAAATTTACTTCACTGATTCTTGGGTTGGGTAATCTAAAATGTTCCACACTGGTGCTGTTTTGTACTGAGGTTGAAAATGCCTCTGGTATGGAGGCACTGGATAATTTTGAACAGGACAAATATGGATTTTTTCCCCCAATTTGATATCATTACGTGTCTCACTTCCTTCCAGATGAAGTCGTTCTCATCTCAAAATCTTCATGCAGCAGTTCCATCTGCTTGATGTTATCCTCTCACAAAAACCTTAACAAAGGGGATCTGAGGATTCTTTTGGTGGAACACTTTTATTGACTTAAGTGTAAAAAAAAAAGTGCTTTACTGTAAAATGTATTTCTTTTGCCTCCCAGAGTAGTAAAAATTCAGTGAAGCAGAGAGGATCCAGACCAAGAAACTCAATATTTCATACAAAGTACCCAGACCACTGGAGGGTTCCCAATTGATTTATTTATTTCTCCTGCAGACCAGCTCTGTCCTTGTTTGGCTTTAAAGGAAACCTTTCTTAGGCAGCAAAGTGACAGTCATGAGGACAGGATGCCCAGCTGGGTACCGAATCAGGCTCCCAGTGACCTGGCTCAGGCTAGTTTGGTCTGTCAGACCTGATTCTGCATATTGCACCTTAGTCAGCATATTTTGGACAATGACATTTCAATTATTGTCCTTGATAGTATCAGGATGTGTAGTTGAATTTAGCTCACAGTGACATTGCCGATATTGTCAGGCCAGCGTTTTCAAGGGAAGTTTTACTTGATGAAGTTTAATTCCTTAAGATTAAATACTGACTCATAATGCTTCAAAATGTATATTTATTAAAAGAAATATATATTTTTTTTAAAGTTCGGTGCCTTTGGGCACATAATATGTCATGGTTTTCAGGGCAGTGAAAGGGCATCTGACCAGGAACTTAAACCACAATTACATATAAACATAAGGTGACCAGAAAATCTATGTCAGGGAGGACACTTTGAGCTAGGATGACATTTGTAAACTATCATTTAAATTAAAAAGACCTGGATTTCACTTAAGCACTGAGTTCTTGCTGTGTGCTGATTGGTCAGTCTCCTATAATCATGCACGTGTCACTAATGTTAATGTGAAACAGCTGGATGAGTCTTTCAATCAACGAGACAAACCAGTCAGAACTCAAGAAGAATTATTTAGCTAAGCCTAGGAGCCTTTCAATTTTAAAGTAGTTTGTAAAATCTAAAGTAGCTCAAAGTGCCTTCCTTGACATAGACTATCTGGTCACCCTATATAAACATTACACTATATTGTGAGCTTTTGCACGCAGTCACATGGATAGCATCTTGTCATGTTTGTATGCTGAATTAAGAATTGATTTAATAACCCTTGTCTTCTGCTTTTCTTTCTTACTGGTAAGCTCCTTATGAGCTGTGTAGGTTATTTAACATTTCAGCCTAATCTATCAGATTAATTCATCTGGCACCTGGGCTTGCTGTTTGAATGATAACTCTGTGTTCCCCGTAGTGGGCCTGTTAGCTAAACATTTACTTTGGTGGGGCTTATTAGCCCTGTGCTAACCATCGGGCTGCTCTCTGTGCATTTCCTAGGTTTAGGCGGGTTAGCTTGATGCTAACCATTCACATATTTTCCATCTGTTCCCTTGGTGGGGCTCATTAGCTTAGTGTCAACATCTGTCTGCTCTCTGCAAACTCCCTAGGTTGAGGTCTGTTAGCCTGATGATAGCCACTTGCCTTCTCGCTCCCAGTTTTCTATGTTTGGGCCGTTAGACTGATGCTAACCATCCACCTGTTCAGTCTGTATCCCTTCATTGGGGTTCATCACCCTAATGCAAACCATTAGTTCCCCACATGTTCCCTATGTCGAGGTCTTTTAGCCTGATGCTAGCCACAGGCCTACTATGTGCTGTCTATGTGTGGGCTGTTAGACTGATGATAACCATCTGCTTGCCCTCTGTTTGTTTCTAGGTAGGGCCCATTAGCCTGGTGCTAATCGGGGTGGTGTGTGTACACTGCATGCACATCCTGGTCTCCTGCAGCCATCACCTGTCTGAAAGGTAACATTGGTAGCTCTTGTTTACCTCGTGTTTGAGCACAAGGCCGTCCCATATAGCTGGTGCTGAGAATCGGCAAGCTCTTATTTAAATTTGACATCCGTTACCCTACAGTGGATGAAGATGACCTCTTCCTTGGGGCAGTCTGCCCTGGACACCCGGCTGGCCCCAGGTGAGGTCGGGTTAGACAGCTGTGCGGGAATCCTGTTGAATCCCTTGGTTCTCATAAATGGGTCATAAATGCATCAATCTTCATTTTGGGTGAATAAGCTCCCCAAAACACATTGTTCCTGGTGTCCCTTGTATAGACCCACCTTTTCTGTAACTGAAAAAGCCCCTTCAGTGTAGTTCTGACACTGTCCCCTTATGGCCTTTTCTGTAATGGCCTCATAATGACCTTTCCAATCACCATTGCAACATGGCAACCAAAGAACGTACAAAATTCCAATCGGCGTACCAGGACTAGGTAAAAC